TCAACGATATTTAACTAGCGGAAAAGAGGTTTAAGCGGGGAAGCCCCTATCCCGACATCCTCCTCGGAACAAAGCCCATCATTTATATCTGAAAGCCGACCAACGTTTAGTTCTGTCAGTCTTGAGCACCAAATGCGCATGTTGTGTTTTAACCTTTTCGCAGCTTTCCCATAGGGATCAACATGTTGGGACCGAGTTGCAAGTGCATCGCCGTTGTGCATGCGCTTCTCTTCACATCAGTTACGGCAACGTCGGTAAGTGCAATTAACTTAAGCAAAGCTGAATGCTCCTTGTTCACATCAACGTCGGTTTTTGGTATGATATGTAATTTTTTTATCTTGGGGCGATGATTGGCTCACTCGCTACCGTTTTTCAAATGAAGTCCTAAAATCCGCGTCGGCTTGATGCTATTTGCATCTCGCCCTACAATATTTTTTTATCCCGTTTCCATGTATGTACATTTAGTTTATTTGTAATGTCGTATTTGTCAAGTCAGCAGTTCTGCTGGGCCGGTGCGTGACAAAGGTGGCATCAGGTATTCGGAACGGTAATTGAAAGCGTTGCATTCGCCGTCTTTTCATCGTTCTTTTAATAAATTGTATGTCTGCTCGCCATATGATTAACAGATTGTATAAGCGTTTTGTATTATACAGTAAATATATTCGAGATCATCCTGAATCGCTTTTAAAGACGCCGCTATTCTTTTTTTGTCTGTTACAAGTGACCTTACTCAAAATATCCGGGTCAATTATAGGAGAACGGAAACACTTCAAAGATCTTACCTTGAATCCCCTCCGGGTGGGTTGCAATAACAGCTGGTTAGAATTTCAACGTTTTTGAGTTGGAGTTCATCGTTTATCTATCTTTTTTGTAATCTTCCAAAAGCGTCTCCTTGAATTTAATAATTCTCCAACCGCTAATTTTTCATCAATAGCATTAATTCGTCCATGTACAACTGACCAAACACATAGTTTGCCACATTAGTCCGGATTGAAAGACTACTACTATTTCTCTTTGATTGAAATATAACCAGAAAGAATTGAAAAGTGATTTTTCAGTGACAGTCTCAGTCCTCATTACCACAGGCGACGAAATGTAGTCCTAGAGAATATAAAGCAGGTGTACGACAAAGGATTTCGGCTATTAATCGCCTACTTTCGATATTTTGAACTATAAATGCCAGCATCGTGTATCCCACGAACTCGTTTTATTTGATTTATGATCATGATGACAGGGTCATAGACACCCTCGGCCTCGCTGTATGACTTGGAAACTCGCGGCTCGTGACTCTGGCAGACGCTACACTTTACGAGCGATAGGCATAACAGTCAAACACAATTGTAATACAAAGTGAAGTAACCTTACCATAATACTTGACATCTTTGCTTAGTCTGCAATCCTTTTTGCTGAGCACAGACACAAATTTCAAAAATTAATTACCTTAAAGTTAGAGAAATAATATTATCAGCTCTCAAAAAGTGCAGACAAGATGAATTCTAGCTTTTCTTGTTCTCTTTGAATAAATCAAAGCTTGCGTTCTAAAAATAGGATTTTGTGAGGATATAATAGTGGGTGTTTGTCTTCGGCGCATTGTTAAGTGATGAAGACAACATCATTGTTCGCTTACCATAATTGTTGCTTACGGTAAATATTATCTTTAAAAAGTTAGACAGTTATTTCATGATACGTACGATTGATGCCATTTTTGTTATTGATGAGGTTTTGTTATTGCTGAAAAAGATTTTCATCACCAGCATTAAAACTGGTTTGAAGCGGAGAATATAATGACTTTTAACTTCGATATGGGTTATCGCGCGACGCAGACAAAACAAACTATTAAACACCTTTATTGTCTCCTAAGTTCCTCTTATCATAATTTAATTCTGTCTCTACCGCATTTGTATTCTATTCCACACATCGTCTCTGCAAACTAGTCTTTTGATATTCTGCGGAACACACACAGTTTAATTTGCAATATAAGATTTATCGCTGCCATACATAACTTTATATACAGTCGACATGGGATCAGCGAAGAAGTCTGTGAAGAGCACTCAGTTCTGAATGATTCAAATTTTATCTAATAAAAGCAACCACTAGGAAGCCTTGACTGATGAAAAGGAGAATCCCCGATCCCCGTTAGGCACGACTTCCTACATTCTAGAAAAACCTAGAAAAGTCTAGAATTCTCCTTGCACAGAAAGGGTCGGCCTCGTCAATAATAGTTACGACAGATCACGAGTCTCAACGGAAGATTTCATAAACGGTTAAGTTAGGATTCATGAAACGCTGCGAGCAATGTTGCTGTTGGTGTGTTTGCTAATCGTAAGAGTTCCGGTAGGTAAAATTTTCCTGATATTTCTGTCTCTCAAACACGTCTGAAGATTCTTGACTG